AGAATTAAGTGCAGTAATGTCTTGCTTTATTACAGATGTCAGTTCTTGGATCTCAGCAGTTGGATCATCAAACACAGATGTTCTCTTTGCCACTGGGACCACAAAAGTAATACTTCAAAGTAAACAATACTGTTTAACTTCTATCATAATCACAAAATAATTCCGTTCCCATGACGATTAGCACTCTCTGCAGTATTTAAAAGCACTGAATTCCAATATTTGGAGTCTTCGTGTAAAGCAACAAAGCAATACATGATCATATGTGGAAAATGGATCAATAAGATGATGATACTTAGAACATAAACAGAACAAAACAATGCAAGTAAAAACACTTGTAAAAACAATTGCAATGAGCCTTCAAGCCAATGAGACCCAACAAAAAGTAATGTATCTCCACAGGAGTTTATTCTGGTATTCAATCATCTGGAAAAATACTTAAAAAAAGATGGGCCCATATGAAGCAATTTTCAGTAACTTAAGGAAATGGAATGTAAGAAAATGCCATTCCATGAATAAATACAGAGAAGTTTACACGTAAAAATCCAAAGAACTGCAATCATAATTGGTGCAAGTACAACTACATCGAAGGAAAAGCTATGGTGATTGAAATGGAAATAATCCGACAATGTAAACTGTTGCTTGTAGTCTTAAGTTAATCTCATTCATTAACAGGTGCAAAGTTATGATTGCCAAGATCAACTCGATATGTTAGACATCTTGGAATTTCTTTTGTTGCATGCAATAAACATTTAGCTTCAACAAGGGTATGAATCATGAGTTTAAAATGATACAAACAATACTTGCCGAAGTCTTAATTGCAATTTGCAATTACCAACCAACTAACAAATCTAACAGTCATTTTCTATTAAAACCCAGTTGAAACCCAAGCACTCAAACTGAAATCAATTCTTCTTATTAGCCAGCATTGCTACATGATCTCACATGTACAAATAGAAATCAGCAGTAACAATATACTGAAGCCTTTGTTCAACAAAATTTTAAGCTAACCTACACACAGTATGACCATACAGTACAATTCTTAAATAACATCAGTACAACAGAATTGTGTTTAATCAGTATGCCTTCAATAATTCATGGAACAAGTCCTCATTACATTCTTTAGTTTAAGGCCAAATGTACCCTCTTCAGAGGACACTCCTCCACAAACCATCGAAGCTCTGAAACATCAGAACAACTCAAGATATCAAGCGAGCGAAAGACCTTTTTGCCAAACATTCAGCTAGATGTAGTTCATAACATATCAAAAGTAATGCTTTTGCAATGTGTCAACTCACAATCTTATAGCATTTGGTTAAATCTATATGACTCAGGGAGTTACTGCATCTCTAAAATCAAGTTTTCAGCTTCCTGCTCTATGCTTGGTTACAGGAATATAACTAATTTTACAAAAATGATACTTTTATAGCTTCCAGCATAAGCAGTATAGTTTTTTTTTTCCATCTATTTATAACGAAAGCATGTCAACATGCGAGACACTCACCTCCATTAGCCCATATTCACTGCATGCATTATATACAAAAACCTAAAGTCATAACCATGATAGAAACACGCCTAGCTCTCAATGTTGCAGTCAACACCACATCACACCATAGCTGTCAAATATACAAGATAATTCGCCACCATTTTCACAACTCCATCTGCATCACTACTATTATAATCATCTTACCCTAAAGCAAAGACTAAAACCACACTGCAAACCAACATAATCTATCGCCCCATATGATAATGCATCACATAACAACTAGACGAATACTAGTTTCATTCCAGACAACAGCATTGCCAACCTGGGAAACCTCACAAAACCCCTAAAACCTTTCTATTCCTGAAAAATTAAAAAGAGAGTAAATAATTCACAAATACAAATTCAATCAGAACTCGGTACCTCCTCTGCCCTAACTTCCTCATTAAGAATGCAAATGAGCTAATTGCTCCCAGGTAAAAAAAATTTTCAAAAAGGCATTCAAACAATTAATTACAGAAAAGCAAATAAACAGATAAAGTATAAAATTCCATAAATTGTATCAACTCACATTTTGCAAGCTTGGCTAGCTTCTGGGATGTCTGGTGGATACCGAACCCGATCTTTGAGGCCCTTTTGTTGAACTCCGACTGAATCGCCACGGCAGATCTCCGATCCTCGGGCTTGGCGCCACCGCTACCGCTGCTATTACTCAACGACACATTATTGACAGACGAAATTGTCTTTTTTAGCCTTTCCGCAACGCTCAGAAACTCCTGCGTTCGGTCCCGATACGACGATTGCCCAGCTTTCACAGACATTTTTTTGTACAATTGTATTTACCAGACAATGTTTCATAAAAAGAGAAAAGTTCAAGGAATTTCAACACATTTCTTTGATAATTCTAACCATTTTTAAGGCACGAGGGAGGAAAATTTTGTGAAAATCTGAAAATGAATTAAGCAAATCTGAACCGTAAATTAAAGAGATTGGTGAAGGTGTGATTTGGGAAGGGCGAACATCGTTGTTTGTGAACAAATAAGGAAAATGGTAAAGATTAAGAGAAGAGATCGGATCCTGCTGCACCCCGCAAGCAAGAATTGCAGAGAACAAGGAAGAGCTAGGAACCACCCAGCAGATCTACCAATTATCAGTTCGGGTTTGGGTCACATAGGTGCCGTACGGTGTCGTATCAACGCAAGACGGTGGTTGGAATTTGATTCTTATATTAAGAATATTAAAATTTTACATTTAATTTAGATAAGGTGACATTTTAATGATGACAACATAAAATTTTTTGAGTTACATGGTACGTATTAATTTAAAAAAATCATATTTTTTAATAAAATAATTATGAATCATTTTAAATCAAAGATAAAACATTGTATTTTTCAGTTAAAAATAAAAGCTTTTTTTGTATGTTACGCGACAAAAAATTCAAAGTCGGCAAGTATGACTGAATTTTTAAATGACAAAATTTTAATATTATTATTAATTATCTTTAAATTGATTTTTAATAAAAATATAAAAATTAAAATTAAAAAAAAGAAACGAAATTTAAACTTGGAACTTATATCCTGCTGGTGTATTAAAACTAGAAAAAAGGCGTCAATATTCATTTTTTCATTACCAATGTTATATAAGTTAATTTTATGGTGTTAGTTCTAGTTGGACATAATAATCCAAGCGTGACTACCATATTTAAAAATGAAGGTCATCATACATTTATATTTACACGATAATAATTTCAGACGATGCATCACATATTATAATTTTTAAATAACTAAAAATATTCTATTATTATCACTATTCGCATTTATGAGATGATAAAAGAATATAACGTCCATGTTTTTGTATAGAAATTCGTTTTTACTAAGATCATAATATCATAACAGATACGAAAATTATAGAACAAATACTCCAACAATTCTCAGTGAAATATCCAGAAGATTACCATGAAGAAGCATGGAAGAACCATCAGCTAATTCTATCATGACTGGGAACTGACAACTCTCGGAGTCTCATCAGTGACTATAGCCAGACCGGAGAAATCACGGTCCCAGAGGTGCTGCTTATTAACCTGATAGTACATGTTGACAGCATAAGATGCATTTCCTTCAGCAGTCAGGTGATTGCAGGAGGAATCATAACCCAAAGCAGGACAGTCTGATAAGCTGCAACTGCAAGCTTAATTAATACTTTCAGGCAACTCTTCCGTATCAGTGGCTTCAGGGTTGAGAACAAGCCATCTTTTTAGTTGGTGTTTTACATCCTCCACTGGAGTAAGCCTACTATCAACGTCCAAACCTGTTGAATCGAATTCATATTTAGGCTTTCCAAACGACCTCAAAAATTCCCCAAAGCCTCTCAAGGCCACCAGGTTCAATGCTTTTAGCATTTTCATGGGGGAGACTAAATTCCCCAGTTGCATT